TCAGTTATAGAGCTAATTTATAGCTTCATGACTACCATCCTGCTGGCCAAGACAGGGAAAGAAACAGTACAGTATTTGTACCAGGGAGGAGGTAGTTTGTCCTTTGGGAAGAACACAAGAGAAAAAGCCTAACAATTCTCACCCACTTCTTCAATTTTCAAAGCAGTCCCATGGGAGTACTGATTAGCAATACTGTACAGATAAACTGCTAGAGATTCACATGACTGTTCATTATCTAGCCCAGCTTGGTGTCAGTTGTAGTAAGACAAAAGCAGTTTGGAACATTATTTTTTCAAAGTAATGTGTTGGGCATTACTATTTTTTACCCCAAAGTACCACTTGACATTACTACTCGTTTAAGGCAGAACTTCTTCGTTACTTTTTATTTTTAGCAGAAACACCTTAAAAATAGGGAAACGATCCAAAACAGTAAAAACACAATCCTGCCAAACCTTCATTTTTGAAGCCTCGCATAAACTCTGTTCATTATATTAAAAGGATAATTACAGTGCATTACTTGTATTTAGATAAATATTGTTATGCTCTTCCCCCCCCCCAAAAGTGCTGTGTTAGAAATAATATTCTTACTTGTAATGAATTATTCCCAAATTCTGGACATAAATAGTATCTAGCATTTACACAGCACTTTTAAACAATTAAAATGCTTCACAAACCTCATTCTGTAATCTTTACAGTTACATCATAAAAGAGAATAGGTCCTATTGTTCCCATGAGGCTGAGGGAGAAAGAACAGTCTGAAGCCATGTAGTGAGAACAAGGCTGGGACAAGAGTAGAACTGGAGACTTCCATGTTTTTCATTCAGTATACATACCCACCCCTGGATCTTAGAAGGCTGTTCTCAAGATTCCCCCCCCCCCCAAGTTTGTTTACAGACATGGGAAGGGTTCGGTCTTAGTGAGAAAGCTCTCTTGTGCCTGTAATAGCCAAATTTTTAAAATGTTTTTAAAATCAGATATGGGGTACCCTCCAGTGCTGTCCCCTCTACATGGTGAAACTGCTCCCCAAATCTCTCAGATGGAACTTTTTTTGGTCAATGTTTTTTTTTTTAAGTTGGGGGCATGAGGGTGCAGGGAAGTCCCAAGGGGGCTAGGGGTACATCTGGTCCCCTGGAGCCTGCATGTAGCCCATCGGCTGCATGCTGCCCACTTCTGTGCTGTAAGTGCAGAACTATGTAACACCAAAGTATCCAGAAAGAGAAAATACCAAGTAGTTATGAGAAAACTAAGCTCTCATTTCTCTCACAGGTGTGAGTCTAAGACAAATCCTATCTTTCGAGAAGAACTAGGGGGTAAATCTGTGCTGAGGAACTCCAGCTAATTCTAGGACACACATCTCACATATTTTCAGGCATGCACACCCTACATGGAATATTAGTCCCCTATGAAAACTCAAACTGAAGGAATGATACTACAGTGGTGCCTCACTAGACGATGATAATCTGTTCCACTGAAATCACTGTTTAGCGAAATCATCGTCTAGTGAAAAGCATTTCCCCACTGGAATGCACTGAAACCTGTTTAATGTGTTCCAATGGGGAAGAATTGTCATTGTCTAGCGAAGATCGGCCATAGGAAAGCCACTTTGTGAACCGCTGATCAGCTGTTTAAATAGCTGTCTTGCGAAGCTTAGGTCCCAAAAACACCCGTTTTGTGAGCACAGAGGGAGCAGTCAAAATAGTTGTCTAGCGAAAATTGGTTTGCGAAGCAGGGACCAACCACTGTCCAGCGAAATTCCCCCATAGTAATCACTGTTTTGAGAAATGCTATAGTGATCGCAAAAAGTCAATGTCTAGCGAAAAAACTGTCATGCGGGGTAACTGTCCAGCAAGGCACCACTGTATACATTTCCACTAAAATACAAAATGTGTCAAGCATTATTTCTTAAAACCATATTACTTTATTTAAATGATAATGTTTTTCTTCCCACCAGGACTTTCAACACACAGTTGAATACAATAAAATATCACAACCAGATAATACAATAATTTCTTTAAAAAACATTTTTATGTTTGGCAATGGAAGAACATCAAAGCAGGAGAATTTTAAGAAGCATATATACAAAATGTAGACCTATACAAAATAAATTGATCGCTGAAATTTGATTAGTTTTGCCTTGGTTTGAAAGAAAAATCTGAATGCAATTCTATCCCAACATGTTAAACCCGCACTGTATTTCTGAGCAAGTATTACAATACAGTTCTTAAGAGCTGTTTTTAAAAGTGAAAATGACTACAAGGAAAAATAGTTCAAGGTGAATTATAAATGCCAGAATACATCATGTTGCAACAATAAATATAAGTGATGAATATTTATGACTATCTCCTTTCTTAGAGAATAACATTACTTTTGGCCAATAATTACCAGACCTGCTTTCAGAAATTTCCAGGCATTCAGAGTGCACGTGCCTCCACACTGAATTGTGGCTCTTGTCTTCACCTAAATGACCTTCACTGGACTACAGAGAGCGAAATGGATGCATTAGAACCTTTCTCTCTTAACTAATATAACTCTGGGAAAAAATGGACTACAATCTGAGATTTTGCTCCTAGGAAGTATAATGACTATACTTACTTGAAAACTAATATGCTTGCAATGGCATAACCAGTGCTTCAATCCTTACCGAGCATAGACATGAATTACAAAATGGAAAATAGGCTAAATCAAAAGAGTCACATTGTCACTTTCTTAAAAATTAATCCACCCTGAAAGTGCTCCAACATAAACTTACGCAACCTCCTTAACCCAATTAAGAAGAGTTTTTCAAAACTTATTTTCAAAGTATTTTCTACTGTATAGCTTTGCTTGAGAAACACTACAAAACCATGCCACAAACTTTCTGATCACCACGGAAAATCTGTACCACCAGTGAATTCATACTTCCTTATGTCCGATTTATAGAGACCTTAATAGGGTTTTCTAGGTATGAGACATCATTAAGGAGTGGTTTATCAGTTTCACACACACATCCAGTGACTGTCCAAGGCTCAGCAGAAATTTAAACCAAGGCCTCCTGAGCCCTCAACTGTCACTCTATCCAGTATATCACACTAGCTTTCCATATAATTTGATGTCTCTTATAGGACACCAAAAATATTTATTCCAGAATTATCATTCTGAAATACAAGCAGCAGCAGCAACAATAGTGTGCCATCAAGTTAATTCTGACTTACAGCAATTGTTTCCAGAGTTTTCTAGGAAAAGAATATGGGATACCCCAAGACTGGGCAGTTTGCCCAAAGTCACTGGAAATGGAATTCCCAACCTCTGGCTCCACAGACAGATATCTAACACACAGATCTACCCGGCCAGCTCAAATCCAAGCAAAGCTAGAGTAAATACATCACCTAAGGAGACATGTATATCACACAGTTAGTGGTCAAGACACACTCTCTGGGAAAAACAATGATGCTAGGAAAAGTTGAGGGCAGCAGGAAACACAATCTCAGGTTTGCAGGAACTGTTAATGTCAAGACATGCTGGAGGTCATTCATTCATAGGGTCTCCATTTAAGTCAGAGGCAACTTTGGTGGCCCACAATGACCCAGGCAATTGAATGACCCAAGAGAACCTCTTCAGACAAGATCAGAGGGCAACAAGGAGGATCAGGGGGCTGGAAACCAAGCCTTACAAGGAGAGACAGAAAGAATAGGGATCGTTCAGCCTCCAGAAAAGGTGACAAGACAAGTGATATAACACTTTTCAAATACTTGAAAGGCTGTCATACAGAGGAGGAGGTGGATCTGTATCCACCCAGAGTAGGGCATGTTAATACTTGAAAGGCTGTCATAAAGAGGAGGAGGTGGATCTGTTCTCAGTCATCCCAGAGTAGGGTATGCTACAAGGGGCTCAAGTTAGAGGAAGCCAGAGTTTGCTTGAATATCAGGAAAAGCTTCCCAACTGTTAGAGCAGTAAGGCAGTGGAACCAATTACAGTGGTGCCTCGCAAGACGAAAGTAATTCATTCTGCAAGTAGTGCTGTCTTGCAAAATTTTCGTCTTGCGAAAATCGGTTTCCCATAGGAATGCATTGCAATGAATTCCTATGGGAACCTCGCAAGACAAATTAATTATTTTCATCTTGCGAGGCGTTGGTCTTGGGAGGGGGGAATCGTCTTGTGAAGTACGGCCATAGAAGAAGCCGTCTTGAGAGGCACCACGATTGCAAAAACCATTCGTGTTGCGGGTTTTTCGTCCCGCTAGGTGTTTGCCTTGCGACGCACCACTGTACATTGAGGGGTGTGTTTTTCGTCCCGCGAGGTGTTTGTCTTGCGACACACCACTGTACATTGAGGGGGTGTGTGTGCTCCAACTCTGGAGGCATACAAGAGAAATGTAGACAACCACCTGGTAGATATCCTTTGACTTGTATTCCTTCATGGGGCAGGGGGCTGGACTTGATGGCCTTAGAGACCCCTTCCAACTTCACTATTCCAACCCCTTAGAGGCCCCTTCCAACTTCACTATTCCAACTTCTCTATTCTATGGTTCCCACACGCTGCCTCACTTCCAGTTTCAGATCAGGACTTCAAGCCTATGAAAGGAGGCTATGAAATCTCTCCACTCTCCTGCTTCCAGGTGTTTGCGGCAGAGTAACAGAAGGACTGATACTCTACAAATACATCTTCCTCTTAATCCTAACCGCACGGGGTGCTTGCTGCCCGAGGCGGCCCTCCCTCCCTCCCTTAGATGCGTTCCTTGAAGGGCTGAACAGAAGAAGAAGAAGATGGCTAACACGTGCAAGAAGAGAAAGGCAGACGGCGGGCGGGCGGGCAGGCTGAACAGACGGCAACTTTTAGCCGGCCGTTTTTTTTTTATAGGAACGAAAGAGAGAGAGAGAGAGACTCTCATTCATTTGCTTCCAGGAGCCGGAACCCAGGGCCGGCCAGAGCTTGGCGAGCGTGGCCAAAAGGAGCCGACCCGCCGGGGGAAATCGCCATCAAGTCAAGGAGCGAGCCCGGCCGGCTTGCCTCTCGCCACTCACCAAAAGAAGAGCCGAGAGCAGACGTTGGCATCGCGGAGCGGGTTGTGCTTCTCGTCCCGGCCGGGAAGCGCCTCCATCGGTCAGACGCGGACTCCGAGCTCCAAAAAAAGCCGCTCGGCCAGGAGAAGCGCGGGTGGGAGCAGCCGCTGCTTGCCTCTTCGCCCGCCCGGCTCGGGTCACCCGCCGCCGCCGCCGGCACCACGTTGTATAATCCGCGCCCCCTGCAGGGCCGGGCCGGGCA